AGTAACTTACTGAATAAATAGCAATTAAACCAACTAGCTAATTATATTTGTTAAACGTACTGGCTAACTCACCACCGTACTCATTTTCTAGTTCAGGCAACTAATTCATTAACTAGTTAACTAATTAACTTATTGTTAATCAGCTGAGCAGCTAAATAACAAATCACTCAGCCAATTGAATAGTTGATAGAGGAAGCAGCTAATTACTCGTCTGTTTTCTCACCGGCTCTAATACCAAACCACCAAAGTAGACTAACTGCCTTTTCACATGATTTTTCAAACCACCAATAACAAAAATTGCAAGCCAAAAAAAAAACAATTAACCACCAAATAAACTTGCTCAGAAACTCACGAGTCATCCAGCTAACTGCATAAGCAATTAAACACAACTATACAACAATTAAAAAAATGAATATATAAGCAACAAAACTATTCACCAAGCCAGTGGAGCGCAGAGCCGATCCATCAGACAGCCAGTGGGGGGTGCAACCTATCCATTCATCAGTGTGGTCATCTAATTCTTTCAACTGGGTGCCAAGTCATGTAGGAACCTCAGGGAATGACATTGCAATCTAGGCTCCAAAACTGGCAACTTGACATTTAGACATTTACATTCCAAAGAGTCTAGCAACGATTACGACTATAATTAGCGATAGAGCAATGCAGTTGCACAGTGAACATCACACAGCAGCAGCAACATTATCCGCAAGATGGTGCAAGAATCCAACCAACTATACATGACTTATTTTGTTTCATTCGGGAACATGATCTAACACAGTGTAGAGTTACAAGCCATATCAGATTGCAACAGTGTAGAAGTTGTTAAACTCATTGCATGTTGCATATAAACACCCATTCACCGCCTAAGTCAGTAACACTGGGTGTTAAAGAGAGTTAGAGTAATGAGATTAGTAATGAGTAATGAGAGAGTAATGAGTAATGCGAGTTAGAGAGAGTAACGGGTGAGTAACACTTAGTGAGCCAGTCAGAGGCTTAGGGACCGCTCAGGTAGATAACGGTCAGTGGGGGCTGGCCTATCCAGTCATCAGTCAGTGGGGGCTGGCCTATCCATTCAACAGTGGGGGCTGGCCTATCCATTCATCAGTTAGTGGGGGCTGGCCTATCCATTCATCAGTTAGTGGGGGCTGGCCTATCCATTCATCAGTTAGTGGGGGCTGGCCTATCCATTCAACAGTGGGGGCTGGCCTATCCATTCATCAGCCAGTGGGGGCTGGCCTATATCCAGTCATCAGTCAGTGGGGGCTGGCCTATCCATTCATCAGTCAGTGGGGGCTGGCCTATCCAGTCATCAGTCAGTGGGGGCTGGCTTATCCATTCAACAGTGGGGGCTGGCCTATCCATTCATCAGTCAGTGGGGGCTGGCCTGTCCATTCATCAGTCAGTGGGGGCTGGCCTATCCAGTCATCAGCCAGTGGGGGCTGGCCTATCCAGTCATCAGTCAGTGGGGGCTGGCCTATCCATTCATCAGTCAGTGGGGGCTGGCCTATCCAGTCATCAGTCAGTGGGGGCTGGCCTATCCATTCATCAGTCAGTGGGGGCTGGCCTATCCAGTCATCAGTCAGTGGGGGCTGGCTTATCCATTCAACAGTGGGGGCTGGCCTGTCCATTCATCAGTCAGTGGGGGCTGGCCTATCCAGTCATCAGTCAGTGGGGGCTGGCCTATCCAGTCATCAGCCAGTGGGGGCTGGCCTATCCAGTCATCAGTCAGTGGGGGCTGGCCTATCCATTCATCAGTCAGTGGGGGCTGGCCTATCCAGTCATCAGTCAGTGGGGGCTGGCCTATCCATTCATCAGTCAGTGGGGGCTGGCCTATCCATTCATCAGCCAGTGGGGGCTGGCCTATCCAGTCATCAGTCAGTGGGGGCTGGCCTATCCATTCATCAGTCAGTGGGGGCTGGCCTATCCATTCATCAGCCAGTGGGGGCTGGCCTATCCAGTCATCAGTCAGTGGGGGCTGGCCTATCCATTCATCAGTCAGTGGGGGCTGGCCTATCCAGTCATCAGCCAGTGGGGGCTGGCCTATCCAGTCATCAGTCAGTGGGGGCTGGCCTATCCAGTCATCAGTCAGTGGGGGCTGGCCTATCCATTTACCTAACATACTACATGTGTAAAGGAAGAAATGTATGTTTATCACTCAGAATGTTCGGCAATATGTTTATTGTTTGTGATGTGTGTCTATATATGTATGAACACGTTGTACTGAACGGGGTGAGAATAGCTTAAGCTACCTCATCCTTTTGTGTGTATTTTATCAATAAACTTTCGATTTCAATTTCAATTTCAAATCCATTTACCAGCTGAACGCCAAGTTTAATTGCATAATTTTGGCGAAATGTTGAACATTCGTGTTCACTATGACATCTGCGCGGAATTCGGCAATTTGTTTTAGCTTTCTATAACCGTGGGAGGTGGGGTGGGGGGGGGGGGTGAACCGGTGGGGAGGGTTGGGGGGGTAAATCATGGGTAAGGGAGGGGAGGAGGGGGGGGGGGTAACGCTAGGGTAAAGGATTTTTTTTGGAGTAAAGAGGATGGAGAGGCATAGGTGAAGGGAAGTATAGAAGTGGGAAACACAGGAGAGGTATGAAAGCAGGCGGGCTGTCCGCCTTGCTGACACGATGTGTGGGTGTTGGCAGCTAAGCTAAGCTGGCTCCCTCTTGTCAGGGAGCTGTGAGTGTGTGAGAGGTTCTTCACATGTGTTTCACCATATATGGATGTCCATAGATGAATACCGTGTAGCATTCATGTATACACACTCCGATGCTTCCACACATGTTGTTCTGTTTAAGGCTCTTTATTTTATTATTATTATTTATTGACTTATATATGTGTACGTATACATATTCACATATACACATATATACATATATATATATATATATATATATATATATATATATATATATATATATATATATATATATATATATATATATATATATATATATATATATATATATATATATATATATATATATATATATATACATATACATACATACATATACACATACATATGCGTAGTTTTTTTTTAAGTATTGGGGGGAGGGATTTCTGGTCAGTATCTCATCTGGGGATTATATACTGTGGGGCGGGGTTTTCATCTAGTGAATCGAGGCTCTTGGGCCACCAGCTGTGGGAGCGGGGCGTCTCATCCTGGAGCAATCTTTCTAACATTGGGTCCTCTAACATTTCGATGGTGTTCCACACCCTGATGGCTTGGTGCTGCAGTCTGATGTTTAGTGGCTGTATGTTCAGGAGTTCTTGGAGCTCCTGTATTGTCTGATCATATGGTGGACGGTGTTTTGCTGCTCTCCTTAGCGCCTTATTTTGCACTGCTTGCAGTTTCTGCATGTTAGTTTTCTTTATGGTGTGTAGTGGTACTGGGGGATACTCTAAATGCGGCCGAACTAGAGCCTTATATGGGTGTATCTGTATGCTTGTAAACTAGGTAGGGGATGGTGTGGGGGTAACTCTAGGGTAAGGGAGGGGAGGGTTAGGGGTAACACTAGGGTAAAGGATGGGGGGGAGGGGTAACTCTAGGGTAAGGGAGGGGAGGGTTAGGGGTAACACTAGGGTAAAGGATGCTGGGGGGGGGTAACTCTAGGGTAAGGAGTAAAACAGTTAGGGTATGAGCCGCTAGGAATGTCAAGCAGGGAAGGGAGGATCTTAGGTCATAGAGGTCAAGAGCTTGACGTTTGCCTTTCGTCAAGCTCTCCTCAGGCCAGGCTCGGTAAAGCGGCGGCCGCTTTACCAAGACGCATCCATCACATGCTGTCGTAGATAAGGCGGGTCCCGAAGGTTGAAGATTGTGGATTCATTGTATTGAAAACGGTTTAATAGCGATATTACAACTCATCAGAATTGCCTAATATATCAGTCCGTCTTGGTAAACAATGGCCAAATGCACCTTTACAACCCCCAAACTCTCGGGTAATAAAAACGTAACACTTTACACACGACTTACAACGTTTACTTTTGAATTCTTTCAGAACAGTGCTTCGCTCACTTCCTGTGTTCGAATCGAACAATTAAATGCTTTTTCCACGTACTGCAATTCAGCCCGTCCTAATAAACAAGGACCCAAAAGTCCATTCCATGCATCCGCCAAACCCGCTGTTTATAAATGAAAAACGGTTTACACACGACTAACAACTGATGACGTTCGAACATTTCCGGAACAAGTGCTTCGCTGACGACTTTTATTCGAACCACAACGCTGTAAATGCTTCACCCACGTACTACTAATACAAATAATCGCTAACAGAACCTAAACACCTAACCTAACCTATGCCTATATATGCACAATATGCTAATATATTATAATATAAAATTATATATGAGAAACGTTCTGTTTTGAATGAACAGCATGTTAAAATTGATGAATGCGTCTGTGGGGTCTACCTCTGGATGGAATGGACTTGGTCCGAGGACGGGTTGGGCCCGGGACAGGCTCCCATGCAGAGTGTCTTTGTTTACGTGTTTGTGTCCAGTTTACCTGGTGTGTTATGGCAAGGTTTGTGTTGATCTGTGAGAGTGATGCCTGGTCTTAAACACCCACCCTCACTACGGCGCACATACCATGCTCGGAAACGACAACAGTTATTAAAGAACAAAATACTGGAGTAATATACAGAAGCACAATATACTGAAACAGCGGGTTTGGCGGGTGCATGGAATGGACTTTGGCCTTTCTTTACGAGGACGGGCTGGCATCAGTGAGAAAATCCGTAGTAGCCGTGATGAGGATTCGAATGTATGCAGTTTGAACCCTCATCACGGCTCAACGGATTTTCTCATTTATGCAGTCACGTTAGTGGGATTTCTCTTGGTGTAATAACAATAATAATAATAAAAATTATTATTATTATTATTATTATTATTATTATTATTATTATTATTATTATTAAGAGAGGTAGAGGAGAGGATGAGAGAGAGTGGGAAGGTATAGTATGAGCCAGACAATGCTTCACAAGACTCACCTCTGAGTTCGTCAGCCCTGACGTAGTGGATGGGACCTTCCTGGGCGTGTATAGTGTGTACCAGCGCCGCCGCCCACACCACGCCCACCACCGCCATCACGCCCACGCCTCTGCTCATCATCTTCCCCCTGGCACGCACGCACGCACGCACACACACCCGCGTCAGTTACTCCTTGAACTACCACTTGCGCACAATGGTGCCAGATATTCACCGTGAGGGTTAATGTTGCAACACTTGGTCGTATCGTTTCTCTCTCGTTTACTCTGGCAATCCTTAACAACCTCCTGCTGCTGCTGCAACACAAGTTTAACGACACTTATTCCAATGGTGAAATATTGGTGTTGCACTAAGCCTACACCACACGTGTCATGGTGCTCAAGAGCAACACTGGAGTGTTACTCGTCCTCGCTGCTCACCAGACACTCCAGAGGGAAGCACCAGCACTCCTGCGCCAGGAGATGTGAACGGCACCACGGCGCGCACACATGTGGGGTCGGCGGGAAGGTTGGCCGCCCCGGCCAGCCAGTGCCAGCCAGCCAGCCACTCAGGTGCTCTTCCAGCCTTCCCTCTCCCTGCCCTCCCCTCCCGTCCCCTTCCCTCCCATCCTCCTCCCCCTCTCTTCCTTCCTCCACGCTACCTCCCCCCCCCCCCGCCCGTTGACGAGTGCTCATACATTACATTTGGGGCCGGTGGCTGAGCGGACAGCACGCTCAGCGCGTGATCCTGTGGTCCCGGGTTCGATTCCGGGCGCCGGCGAGAAACAATGGGCAGAGTTTCTTTCACCCTAATGCTTCTGTTACCTAGCAGTAAATAGGTACCAGGGAGTTAGTCAGCGGTCACAGGCTGCTTCCTGGTGTGTGTGTGTGTGTGTGTGTGTGTGTGTGTGTGTGTGTGTGTGTGTGTGTGTGTGTGTGTGTGTGTGTGTGTGGTGTGGAAAAAAAAATTGTAGTTAGTAACAGTTGATTGACAGTTGAGAGGCGGGCCGAAAGAGCAGAGCTCAACCCCAGCAAGCACAACTAGGTGAATACAGCCCATCCTCCTCACATTAAAGTACTCATAGTCAATATATAGTGGAAAGTGCCAACGTGTAGGGACCAGGGACCCCCAGAAAGTGGAGTACATACGTACATAACAGTACATATAGTACATAAATGTGGTGCTCAGCTAGGCCTAGGAATGTTTAAGAGAGGGTTTAACTATATTTTTTCTTGACTCTAAAATTGTTTAGCCTTCAGAGTTATGTTGAGATTTCAAGCCTTAAACCAGGCACTGGAACCGTTTAGGTTACTCACAGCCACTGTTTCCCACGAACGCGATTCGACAAGCGTTTTACAACCAAGTCTCCCGACTACAAATGGCTGTTGACGTACAACAAGTGTCCACTCGCAGGGTGAGTGGCGCTGCCCAGTAAACTTACCCTTCGGGGCGAAATTAAAAAGAAAAAGGAAAATGAACAGCAAAAGAGCGGTACTCGATCGTCCCACCAACCTGCATGCCCACGGTTCGAACCTTGGCAGTTCTCACTGGTGAAGGGAAGTGGCGAGTCAGTTGCAGGAGCCCCCCTTGTCTTGGAGTCCCTGCAAGCGCCCCCCTTGTCTTGGGGGTCCCTGCAGGAGCCCCCCTTGTCTTGGGGTCCCTGCAAGCGCCCCCCTTGTCTTGGGGGTCCCTGCAGGAGCCCCCCTTGTCTTGGGGTCCCTGCAGGAGACCCCCTTATCTTGGGGGACCCTGCAGGAGCACCCCTTGTCTTGGGGGTCCCCGCAGGAGCCCCCCTTGTCTTGGGGTCCCTGCAGGAGACCCCCTTGTCTTGGGGGTCCCTGCAGGAGACTCCCTTGTCTTGGGGGTCCCTGCAGGAGCCCCCCTTATCTTGGGGGTCCCCGCAGGAGCCCCCCCTTGTCTTGGGGGTCCCTGCAGGAGCCCCCCTTGTCTTGGGGTCCCTGCAGGAGCCCCCCTTGTCTTGGGGGTCCCTGCAGGAGCCCCCCTTGTCTTGGGGGTCCCTGCAGGAGACCCCCTTGTCTTGGGGGTCCCTGCAGGAGCCCCCCTTGTCTTGGGGGTCCCTGCAGGAGCCCCCCTTGTCTTGGGGGTCCCTGCAGGAGCCCCCCTTGTCTTGGGGGTCCCTGCAGGAGCCCCCCTTATCTTGGGGGTCCCCGCAGGAGCCCCCCTTGTCTTGGGGGTCCCTGCAGGAGCCCCCCCTTGTCTTGGGGGTCCCCGCAGGAGCCCCCCTTGTCTTGGGGGTCCCTGCAGGAGCCCCCCCTTGTCTTGGGGGTCCCTGCAGGAGACCCCCTTGTCTTGGGGTCCCTGCAGGAGACCCCCTTGTCTTGGGGTCCCCGCAGGAGCCCCCCTTGTCTTGGGGGTCCCTGCAGGAGCCCCCCTTGTCTTGGGGTCCCTGCAGGAGACCCCCTTGTCTTGGGGTCCCTGCAGGAGCCCCCCTTGTCTTGGGGTCCCTGCAGGAGCCCCCCTTGTCTTGGGGTCCCTGCAGGAGACCCCCTTGTCTTGGGGTCCCTGCAGGAGCCCCCCTTGTCTTGGGGTCCCTGCAGGAGCCCCCCTTGTCTTGGGGGTCCCTGCAGGAGCCCCCCTTGTCTTGGGGTCCCTGCAGGAGCCCCCCTTGTCTTGGGGTCCCCGCAGGAGCCCCCCTTGTCTTGGGGTCCCTGCAGGAGCCCCCCTTGTCTTGGGGTCCCCGCAGGAGCCCCCCTTGTCTTGGGGGTCCCTGCAGGAGCCCCCCTTGTCTTGGGGGTCCCTGCAGGAGCCCCCCTTGTCTTGGGGTCCCTGCAGGAGCCCCCGCGGCTGCGTGAGGGCGCTGACCAAGCGGAGTCGTGGGTGAAGGCGGCTTCCGTAACTCCTCGTAACTCATATCAATTAAATAAGGTTGTTGATTTGTGGAAGAGATTACCGGGTAATATAATAGACTTGGGAGCAATGTTTGTTTCAAGCGCAGGCTAGACATACATATGAGTTTGTGTGGATGTAAAAGGAAGCTGCCTTGTACGGACCAACAAGCCTTCAGTAGTTTCCTTAAGCCTTAGGTTGTCGTGTTCAAGGAGAGAGGTAATCCTTCTGTTTCTCGCACACATTTCAGCTTCCAGGTTTTACCTATGTCCTCGTGTCCTATCTTCTCTCAGTTTAAAGAGGCTCTCCATGTCCACCTTGACCGTACTTCAAATCACCTCAATATATAACATAGCTTCAACTAATTGCTAACTCAACCAAATGAATCAGTTCACTTAATTTGTGGCTGAAGATTGTGTTGGCTGCAAGCAACAGTTTCGATCAGAATTTAGGATAGTAGTATAGTTGAGCTTAGGGCTACGGTGTACAGTGCATCACAGGAGGATCCTGTGAGTCGCAGACTGCTCCTCTCTCTGGTGGAAGCTCTACACCTTCTCCCTGAGAGCAGCTATGGTCAACCATCCGTGCAGAGTCAGCTGACTTGAATAGCAACTCTGACGACTGTAGGGCTACGTGTTCTATAATGTGTTCTGATCAGTGATCAGGGTGGAGGCGCTCTTGTTCATGGGGGGGGGGGGGGCGCTGGGTACAGTGTTTATGGTGGGGGGGGGGGGACTGGGTACTGTGTTTATGATGGGGGGCTGGGTACTGTGTTTATGGTGGGGGGGGGGCTGGGTACTGTGTTTATGATGGGGGGCGGGGTACTGTGTTTATGGTGGGGGGGGGGGGGGCTGGGTACTGTGTTTATGATGGGGGGCTGGGTACTGTGTTTATGGTGGGGGGGGGGGCTGGGTACTGTGTTTATGATGGGGGGCGGGGTACTGTGTTTATGGTGGGGGGGGGCTGGGTACTGTGTTTATGATGGGGGGCGGGGTACTGTGTTTATGGTGGGGGGGGGGATGGGTACTGTGTTTATGATGGGAGGCGGGGTACTGTGTTTATGGGGGGGGGCTGGGTACTGTGTTTATGATGGGGGCGGGGTACTGTGTTTATGGGGGGGGGCTGGGTACTGTGTTTATGAGGGGGGGGGGGCTGGGTACTGTGTTTATGATGGGGGGCGGGGTACTGTGTTTATGGTGGGGGGGGGGGGGGGCTGGGTACTGTGTTTATGGTGGGGGTGCTGAGTACTGTGTTTATGGTGGGGGTGCTGGGTACTGTGTTTATTGTGGGGGGCTGGGTACAGTTTTTATGGTGGGGGGGGGCTGGGTACTGTGTTTATGGTGGGGGCTGGGTACTGTGTTTATGGTGGGGGGTGCTGGGTACAGTGTTTATGGGGGGGGGAGGCTGGGTACTGTGTTTATGGTGGGGGTGCTGGGTACAGTGTTTATGGTGGGGGGGCTGGGTACAGTGTTTATGGTGGGGGGGGGGGCTGGGTACTGTGTTTATGGTGGGGGGGGCTGGGTACAGTGTTTATGGTGGGGGGGGGCTGGGTACTGTGTTTATGGGGGGGGGGGGGGGGCTGGGTACTGTGTTTATGGTGGGGGGGGGTGCTGGGTACAGTGTTTATGGTGGGGGGGGGGCTGGGTACTGTGTTTATGGTGGGGGGTGCTGGGTACAGTGTTTATGGTGGGGGGGGGCTGGGTACAGTGTATGGTAGGGGGGGCTGGGTACTGTGTTTATGGTGGGGGGGGGGGGCTGGGTACAGTGTATGGTGGGGGGCTGGGTACTGTGTTTATGATGGGGGTGCTGGGTACTGTGTTTATGGTGGGGGGCTTGGAACTGTGTTTATGATGGGGGGTGGGGGCTGGGTACTTTGTTTATGGTGGGGGTGCTGGGTACTGTGTTTATGGTGGGGGTGCTGGGTACTGTGTTTATGGTGGGGGTGCTGGGTACTGTGTTTATGGTGAAGGTGCTGGGTACTTTGTTTATGGTGGGGGGGGGCTGGGTACAGTGTTCATGTTGACCCACTGTGAAGTGTTCATGTTGACCTACTGTGAAGTGTTCATGTTGACCTACTGTGAAGTGTTCAGGGTTGACCCACTGTGAAGTGTTCAGGGTTGACCCACTGTGAAGTGTTCAGGGTTGACCCACTGTGAAGTGTTCAGGGTTGACCTACTGTGAAGTGTTCATGTTAACCCACTGTGAAGTGTTCAGGGTTGACCCACTGTGAAGTGTTCATGTTGACCCACTGTGAAGTGTTCATGTTGACCCACTGTGAAGTGTTCATGTTGACCCACTGTGAAGTGTTCATGTTGACCCACTGTGAAGTGTTCATGTTGACCCACTGTGAAGTGTTCATGTTAACCCACTGTGAAGTGTTCAGGGTTGACCCACTGTGAAGTGTTCAGGGTTGACCCACTGTGAAGTGTTCAGGGTTGACCCACTGTGAAGTGTTCAGGGTTGACCCACTGTGAAGTGTTCATGTTGACCCACTGTGAAGTGTTCATGTTGACCCACTGTGAAGTGTTCATGTTGACCTACTGTGAAGTGTTCAGGGTTGACCCACTGTGAAGTGTTCATGTTAACCCACTGTGAAGTGTTCAGGGTTGACCCACTGTGAAGTGTTCAGGGTTGACCCACTGTGAAGTGTTCATGTTGACCCACTGTGAAGTGTTCAGGGTTGACCCACTGTGAAGTGTTCAGGGTTGACCCACTGTGAAGTGTTCAGGGTTGACCCACTGTGAAGTGTTCAGGGTTGACCCACTGTGAAGTGTTCATGTTGACCCACTGTGAAGTGTTCAGGGTTGACCCACTGTGAAGTGTTCATGTTGACCCACTGTGAAGTGTTCAGGGTTGACCCACTGTGAAGTGTTCATGTTGACCCACTGTGAAGTGTTCAGGGTTGACCCACTGTGAAGTGTTCATGTTGACCCACTGTGAAGTGTTCAGGGTTGACCCACTGTGAAGTGTTCATGTTGACCCACTGTGAAGTGTTCAGGGTTGACCCACTGTGAAGTGTTCATGTTGACCCACTGTGAAGTGTTCAGGGTTGACCCACTGTGAAGTGTTCAGGGTTGACCCACTGTGAAGTGTTCATGTTGACCCACTGTGAAGTGTTCAGGGTTGACCCACTGTGAAGTGTTCATGTTGACCCACTGTGAAGTGTTCAGGGTTGACCCACTGTGAAGTGTTCATGTTGACCCACTGTGAAGTGTTCAGGGTTGACCCACTGTGAAGTGTTCAGGGTTGACCCACTGTGAAGTGTTCAGGGTTGACCCACTGTGAAGTGTTCAGGGTTGACCCACTGTGAAGTGTTCAGGGTTGACCCACTGTGAAGTGTTCAGGGTTGACCCACTGTGAAGTGTTCAGGGTTGACCCACTGTGAAGTGTTCATGTTGACCCACTGTGAAGTGTTCAGGGTTGACCCACTGTGAAGTGTTCCAAAACGTCAACACAAAATGTAGAAAAAGAACATAATACATAATATACATACATAATATACATACATAATATATGTATAGTGTTAGAGAGTGTCAGAGCCTTGACTGTCATCTCTGATGCCTCTCGTATGGCACTGACCAGAGGCCAGATTCACGAAGCAGTTACACAAGCACTTTCGAATCTGTACATCTTTTCTCAATCTTTGGCGGCTTTGCTTATAATTATTAAACAATTAATGAGCTCCGAAACACCAGGAGGCTGTTTATAACAATGACAACAGTTGAATGGGAAATTCTCATGCTTGTAAACTGTTTAGTAGGTGTAACCAAAGCTGTCAACGATTTAGGAAAGATGTACATGTTCGTAAGTACTTGCGTAACTGCTTCGTGAATCTGACCCCAGAGCCCTGGCGGCAGTGACCAGAGCCCTGGCGGCAGTGACCAGAGCCCTGGCGGCAGTGACTAGAGCCCTGGCGGCAGTGACCAGAGCCCTGGCGGCAGTGACTAGAGCCCTGGCGGCAGTGACCAGAGCCCTGGCGGCAGTGACCAGAGCCCTGGCGGCAGTGACTAGAGCCCTGGCGGCAGTGGCCAGAGCCCTGGCGGCAGTGGCCAGAGCCCTGGCGGCAGTGACTAGAGCCCTGGCGGCAGTGACTAGAGCCCTGGCGGCAGTGGCCAGAGCCCTGGCGGCAGTGACTAGAGCCCTGGCGGCAGTGACCAGAGCCCTGGCGGCAGTGACAAGAGCCCTAGAGCCCTGGCGGCAGTGGCCAGAGCCCTGGCGGCAGTGACTAGAGCCCTGGCGGCAGTGACTAGAGCCCTGGCGGCAGTGACCAGAGCCAGAGCCCTGGCGGCAGTGACCAGAGCCCTGGCGGCAGTGACTAGAGCCCTGGCGGCAGTGGCCAGAGCCCTGGCGGCAGTGACTAGAGCCCTGGCGGCAGTGGCCAGAGCCCTGGCGGCAGTGACCAGAGCCCTGGCGGCAGTGACCAGAGCCCTGGCGGCAGTGGCCAGAGCCCTGGCGGCAGTGACCAGAGCCCTGGCGGCAGTGACCAGAGCCCTGGCGGCAGTGGCCAGAGCCCTGGCGGCAGTGGCCAGAGCCCTGGCGGCAGTGACCAGAGCCCTGGCGGCAGTGGCCAGAGCCCTGGCGGCACTCTACGGCACGGGGTGATGGCGGTGGTGGTGGCAAGAGGCGACAGACGGAACGAGGGATTCTTAAGCGACACTGCAGGTGGAAGATCAGGTGCAGGAGGCAGGGAAGATGTTGGGCAGAAGAGTCTTACAGAAGACTTAAGAGAAGGGGGGGGGGGGAAGGGGCAGTAGTACCCCGTAAGGGCACCGCAGAGGCTGCAAAGGACTGTGTACATATAGTGAGTGTTCGTGTCTGTGGGCTTCAGACGTTGCTAAAAAAATGTTGGTCGCGTAGTGCGTACAAGAGCGGCGGGTGAGCGAAGTACTCTGGTCAGGGAGCGAAGAGTTGGCGGGCAAGTGAAAGTCCGCGCCGCCCGAGGTCGAGGATGCGCAAGCTGATGCTCGCTTGTTTCATCACCGGCCTGACCCTGGATCACGTGACCACAGACGTTCACATGACCCCTGGTGTCTGGAAATGCCAGACGGCGTTCAGCGTCATCCTGGCTTCACCAGTCACAACTTGAGGTTCCCTGAACGCCCAAGCTGATTGGTCCGTTAACAGGGAAAGTGAAGTTCTGAGTGGCCCCCCCGGTGACCCGGCATACCTAAGGCAGTATGGAGGTATTCATTACGTCACTGTTACGCTAGCCAATAGCACGCTGGCTTTCAGTCTTCACGCCCAGCGATTGGGTATAGTAGACATGGGAAGCAAGTGCCAGGAGGTACGACTATGGTTCCTGTGCAGTTAACGATGACAGTGGTGGTTCGCTGCCGTACTTATCTACTACACCAAACCAAACAGGAGTTTGGGTCATAACCAAACAATGGCTTATCCAAACAAGACAAAACAAACCAAGATAACTCTTAATAAAGCCTGCCAAATATTATTAAATAACGTATGTAAGATAACGTCGTAATATATAGTTATTAATGCAGTTAAAGGTGGTGGTGAATCGTCACTATCAACTGACGAGAGCTGACAAGTACACGTGCATGCCACACCTGCACCTGTGCTCGCAGTCAGGCACGTGTAGGGCAGGTGTGTGTGTCACTCAAGGAGACGGGAACACACTCTCTGGAGCCAGGAGTGGATTTAGGCACTATAAAGCAGTTTCAACGTGTCTTAAGTCTGACGAGGTCGAGCAAGCTTTAACCTTGCCAGAGACAACTGTGCTGGAGACAACCATTAAGGCCCACCACCACACAGGTGCACACAGGTGCGTGGAAGGGGGCTATGAGCCACCACATGACCCACATGTTGAGAGAGAGCAGTGATGAACACATGCATCATGAGAACATGTGTGTGCTTCCAGTACACCTCAGCATCACATGTAGAATGTAAGGAGGGGAGAGGAAGGTCACCCCCTGACACACATCAGGGGACACTCACTCATCTCTGACACACATCAGGGGACACTCACTCATCTCTGACACACATCAGGGGGCACTCACTCATCCCTGACACACATCAGGGGACACTCACTCATCTCTGACACACATCAGGGGACACTCACTCATCTCTGACACACATCAGGGGACACTCACTAATCTCTGACACACATCAGGGGGCACTCACTCATCCCCTGACACACATCAGGGGACACTCACTCACCTCTGACACACATCAGGGGGCACTCACTCATCCCTGACACACATCAGGGGGCACTCACTCACCCCCTGACACACATCAGGGGACACTCACTCATCCCTGACACACATCAGGGGACACTCACTCATCTCTGACACACATCAGGGGACACTCACTCATCCCTGACACACATCAGGGGACACTCACTCATCCCTGACGCACATCAGGGGACACTCACTCATCTCTGATACACATCAGGGGGCACTCACTCATCCCTGACACACATCAGGGGGCACTCACTCATCTCTGACACACATCAGGGGACACTCACTCATCTCTGACACACATCAGGGGGCACTCACTCATCCCTGACACACATCAGGGGACACTCACTCATCTCTGACACACATCAGGGGACACTCACTCATCTCTGACACACATCAGGGGACACTCACTCATCTCTGACACACATCAGGGGGCACTCACTCATCCCTGACACACATCAGGGGACACTCACTCACCCCTGACACACATCAGGGGACACTCACTCATCCCTGACACACATCAGGGGACACTCACTCATCTCTGACACACATCAGGGGACACTCACTCATCTCTGACACACATCAGGGGGCACTCACTCATCCCTGACACACATCAGGGGGCACTCACTCATCTCTGACACACATCAGGGGACACTCACTCATCCCTGACGCACATCAGGGGACACTCACTCATCTCTGATACACATCAGGGGGCACTCACTCATCCCTGACACACATCAGGGGGCACTCACTCATCTCTGACACACATCAGGGGACACTCACTCATCCCTGACACACATCAGGGGACACTCACTCATCTCTGACACACATCAGGGGACACTCACTTATCCCTGACACACATCAGGGGACACTCACTCATCTCTGACACACATCAGGGGGCACTCACTCATCCCCTGACACACATCAGGGGACACTCACTCACCTCTGACACACATCAGGGGGCACTCACTCATCCCTGACACGCATCAGGGGGCACTCACTCATCCCCTGACACACATCAGGGGGCACTCACTCATCCCTGACACACATCAGGGGGCACTCACTCACCCCCTGACACACATCAGGGGGCACTCACTCATCCCTGACACACATCAGGGGGCACTCACTCATCCCTGACACACATCAGGGGGCACTCACTCACCCCCTGACACACATCAGTTGGCACTCACTCATCCCTGACACACATCAGGGGCACTCACTCACCCCCTGGCACACATCAGGGGGCACTCACTCATCCCTGACACACATCAGGGGGCACTCACTCACCCCCTGACACACATCAGGGGGCACTCACTCATCCCTGACACACATCAGGGGGCACTCACTCATCCCTGACACACATCAGGGGGCACTCACTCACCCCCTGACACACATCAGGGGGAACTCACTCATCCCTGACACACATCAGGGGGCACTCACTCACCCCCTGACACACATCAGGGGGCACTCACTCATCCCTGACACACATCAGGGGGCACTCACTCACCCCCTGACACACATCAGGGGGCACTCACTCATCCCTGACACACATGAGGGGGCACTCACTCACCCCCTGACACACATCAGGGGGCACTCACTCACCCCCTGACACACATCAGGGGCACTCACTCATCCCTGACACACATCAGAGGGCACTCACTCACCCCTGGCACACATCAGGGGGCACTCACTCACCCCTGACACACATCAGGGGGCACTCACTCACCCCTGACACACATCAGGGGGCACTCACTCACCCCTGACACACATCAGGGGGCACTCACTCACCCCTGACACACATCAGGGGGCACTCACTCATCCGTGACACACATCAGGGGGGCACTCACTCATCCGTGACACACATCAGGGGCACTCACTCATCCGTGACACACATCAGGGGGCACTCACTCATCCCTGACACACATCAGGGGGCACTCACTCACCCCTGACACACATCAGGGGGCACTCAATCACCCCTGACACACATCAGGGGGCACTCACTCGCCCCTGACACACATCAGGGGGCACTCACTCACCCCTGACACACATCAGGGGGCACTCACTCACCCCTGACACACATCAGGGGGCACTCACTCATCCGTGACACACATCAGGGGGCACTCACTCATCCCTGACACACATCAGGGGGCACTCACTCACCTCTGACACACATCAGGGGGCACTCACTCACCCCTGACACACATCAGGGGGCACTCACTCATCCGTGACACACATCAGGGGGCACTCTCTCATCCCTGACACACATCAGGGGGCACTCACTCACCCCTGACACACATCAGGGGGCACTCGGCACTCACTCACCTCTGACACACATCAGGGGGCACTCACTCACCCCTGACACACATCAGGGGGCACTCACTCATCCGTGACACACATCAGGGGGGCACTTACTCATCCCTGACACACATCAGGGGGCACTCACTCACCCCTGACACACATCAGGGGGCACTCACTCACCTCTGACACACATCAGGGGGCACTCACTCACCCCTGACACATCAGGGGGCACTCACTCATCCGTGACACACATCAGGGGGGCACTCACTCATCCCTGACACACATCAGGGGGCACTCACTCATCCTTGACACACATCAGGGGGCACTCACTCATCTCTGACACACATCAGGGGGGCACTCACTCATCCCTGACACACATCAGGGGGCAGTCACTCACCCCTGGCACACATCAGGGGGCACTCACTCACCCCCTGACCCACATCAGGAGGCACTCACTCACCCCTGACACACATCAGGGGGCACTCACTCATCCGTGACACACATCAGGGGCACTCACTCACCCCTGACACACATCAGGGGGCACTCACTCACCCCTGACACACATCAGGGGGCACTCACTCACCCCTGACACACATCAGGGGGCACTCACTCACCCCGTGACACACATCAGGGGGCAGTCACTCATCCCTGACACACATCAGGGGGCACTCACTCACCCCTGACACACATCAGGGGCACTCACTCACCCCCTGACACACATCAGGGGGCAGTCACTCATCCCTGACATACATCAGGGGGCAGTCACTCATCCCTGACACACATCAGGGGGCACTCATTCATCCCTGACACACATCAGGGGGCAGTCACTCATCCCTGACACACATCAGGGGGCACTCACTCACCCCTGACACACATCAGGGGGCACTCACTCATCCGTGACACACATCAGGGGGCACTCACTCACCCCTGACACACATCAGGGGGCACTCACTCACCCCTGACACACATCAGGGGGCACTCACTCATCCCTGACACACATCAGGGGGCACTCACTCACCCCTGACACACATCAGGGGGCACTCACTCATCCGTGACACACATCAGGGGGCACTCACTCATCCGTGACACACATCAGGGGGCACTCACTCATCCGTGACACACATCAGGGGGCACTCACTCACCCCTGACACACATCAGGGGGCA